ATCAAAACCAATGGAGTCAAGTAGCTGGCATCAGCTGGAGACTGGACAGCATCGAGAACAGAAGAAAACCTAGGATCCAGAACTGTAATATTTAACAGCTAGCTAGAGGAAAATGGGTTGGCAAAGGGAAATGAGAGTGAGCAGCCAGAGAAGGAGGAGGAAAACGAAAAGATTGTGCCAGGAAGAGAGGGAGAATGTTTCAGGGAGGTGATGGTCAACAATGTTGAACGATCCAAGATAGGTTGGATGAAAGGCCCATTGAGCTAGCTATTCTGAGTCATGAAGGCTGGAGGGACACCTGTTTTGATAAAATAAGTGGTGGAGGCAGAAGACCAATTGAAGAAGGTTGAGGAATAGTGGGAGGTAAAGAAATGGAGGTAATGAGGTCAATTCCTTTCAAAAGTTTATCTGTGAAAGGGAGGAGCAAGGACAGTAGCTAGGGATGAGGTTAAAGCAATAGGTTATTTGTTGTTGTCATTTTTAAGATGGGAAAGAGACTTCTGTATGTTTAAATGCTCATGAAGAGGATCCAGTATAGAGTGAGGTTGAAGATCTAGAAGAGTGGAAATGATGTATACTAAAAGATTGTGAAAATGTGAGAGGGGATAGGATTCAGAAGCAGGTCAAGCCCTGGGCACATGGGAGGCATTTGATATTGGCAACTCTCTGCACAATTTATTTCTAATGTTTAAAAATGCTGAAATATAACAGATATACAGAAAAAAGTGCTTGAAACAAATATGTAGCTTAATGAATCATTAGGGTGGACACCATGTAGCCAGAGAAAAACATAACATTGCCAGCACTCCACAAGCCCCCACTCACTTTTCCCTTCCTTGTCACAACACTCTATCCCTACTGATAACCACCACCCCGGATTTATTGGTAACTTCATGTTCTTCTATCTAGTTTTTTTTTTTCCCTTCATTCTAGTTTTGCCACCGAAGTATACATCTCTAAATAATGCTGTTAAAATTTTACTTATTTTTAAACTTTATATAAACACAACTATACGACATGGATTCTTTTATTTAATGCTTCTTTCACTCGACATTATATTTTTAGGATGCATCCATGTTGCTGTATAAAGTTATACTTCCTTCATTTTCAACACTGTATAGTATTCCATTGTGTGATTATATCACAATTCATTTTTCCCTTGCTACCATGAGTGGACATTTGGTTTGCTGGGAGTTATTATAAAAATGCCACAGAGAATATTGTTGTATGAGTGTCCTGGTGCACATGTACCTGAGTTTCCTTTGGCTGCATTCCTAAGAGGAACTTCTGGGGCATAGAGTATGCTTACCTTCAACTTCACTAGCTAATACCAAACTTTTCCAAAGTGGCCATACCGTCTGGACTCCTCATAAGAAAAGATGCTCAACTTCATTAGAAATGAGACACATTGTATCATTATTACTAACAGATCTTGTCCTACAAAGCATTATATTCCTGCGTCAGGTGCTTCCTTAGGGTAAGTTCTAACCCAGCAATTTTCAACCCCTTTCATCTCATGGCACACATAAACTTATGACTAAAATCCTGTGGCACACCCAAAAATATATTTTTTTTGCCGATCTGACAAAAAATAGGTATAATTTTGATTCATCCACACCAGACAGCTATTGTTGTTTGTGTTGGCTGTTGTAATTTTTAAATTTTATTTGGCAATCTAAGAGTAAAGAGGCCGGTGCCCAAATAGTCAGGTATTGCATGTTTTAAAAATTCTTGCAGCACACTGGTTGAAAATTGCTTTTCTAACCCACGGGCTTTCCTTTCTACCTAAAGGCCCACTCAGAGTTTCTATCTCAGCATGAGTTACCATGAAGTGGATCACTGTGTCGCTAATGTGTTACAAGTTAGTTTCTTCCTTCCTAATACTTGGCGGTAACAAACTGTCTTGTATCATAAGTGACGCAAATCAATTGTTACATCGCAGGGTCCACTGCCACCTTGGCAGATGGTTGGTCTTTAGCATTCTGTGTAGTACTTACTATATTTGGGCAGTTGAATGGAAGGTTAAGAGCATACAGTTTGGAGCTGGACTGCCTGGGTTTGAATCCTCACTCTCAAGAGTTACTCCTATTTATGTGTAGGTCCTGGGAAGTGTATACTTAGCTGAATGAGACCCAGCCATTTTCTAGTGGCTCAGATAAGGGGGTATCATCCCAGTACACTGATACAAGTAGTGTGTCTGGTGCAAGGAGCTTTGAGGGTCCTGGGGAGGAAATATCTAATTGAACAGTCTTCCTGGAAAACAAAACAAAAAACGCATGCAGATGGGAGGAATTGGAGAAAATTCTGGTCAGGAAGTCACAGTACATCACGAAGAGCTTTGAATCCCAGGCCCAGGAATTTTTCTGTAATTCAGTAAGGAATGGGAGACCTTGTATTGCCAGGTGGCTGTGAGATAGGAGCTAGATTCTGAAAGGCACCCAGGTGCACTGGGCCAACAAATGGTGGTTTAGAAACCCTATTGTTTGGCTGCCGCTACCATCAGACTCTATCAGGTGCTTTCGTAAGATGAGAATAGTTGGAGAGATATATCTAGGACAATTTTAATGCCAAATTATGTTTTTACAATTTCCAAAAACCAGTGCTAAGGTGGCTAGGGTCATTATTGTGGACCTCATTACCTTATTATTTCATACAAACTAGAAATAAAATGCATTAGTACCCGACCATGGTGGTGGATAGCCACACAGATTAGAAAATTGAATTGGAATACAGGTACATGCAAATGAGTACAAGTAAAATGGAAAATTTAAGATGAATTGTATCAATGTCAACATCCTGATTGTGATTTTGGAAGACATTACCACTGGGGAGAACTGGGCAAAGTGAACTATTTCTCGGTGTTACTTTTTTTTTTTTTTTTTTACAATTGCATGTTAATTTTCTCAACAAAAATTTCAAGGAAAATATGCACTAGTAAAATTTATGTTTTGTAGCATGAGAGTCACATTCCCCTTCTTCTAGTTATCTATATATAGGGGCTTCCTGAGGCACATAAATTAGACACCATTATTTACCTTCAGGCACCAACTGGAAAGAAGAGGAAAGTGCCTAGAAGGGATGAGGCCACCAGTACAGGACCTGCTTTACTATTTTGATTTTTCCTGATCCTCACTGCAGATTACAATGACCCGGAATTTTTGACAGTTCTGTCACAGTGAGTCAACTTCACCCAGCTGTTTGCTGATATACCACTGGGTCTACTATGTCACTTTTGGGTTCTTACCACCAAAGGTAGGATTAAAATAATTCTGGGGAGGAGGGGCTCAATGGGGGGGTGAGACTGGGGGAAGGGGACATCTGTTATACTTTCAACAATAAAGATAAATTAAAAAAATAAAAATCACGATACAAAAATATAATTCTCTTATTATGGAAGTGAAGCTTACCTACCAAAAAACAAACTAACAAAAATATGGTGTGAAGTTTCCGGATATAGCATTTTATAACTTAAGGAGTTTTTAACCTGAGCCATTACTTTAGAAAAGTACAACCCACAGCAACGAGTGCACTGAATTTCTTGAGTGGCTTGGAGAAGACCGTGCTCACAGGGCCAGGGTTATTATGAACTTTGTCACGATCACTTCTCTGCTATGCTAAAGGTTTCCTTTCCCAACGGCAGGGCCCACTTGGACTTGAAAGAGAGCCTCGAACTTTTATAAAGTGAAAGAAAGGAGAGGAAGGAATGGCCGGCTGGGAATCCGGCCCCGGGAAGGCATCCACCTTAATTTCCAGAAGAGACCTCTCACTCCTCCAGACTTGCGGATGTTCACGACGCCAGGAGCTCACTCGGCGCTGCGGTGGGAAACCGAGGCAGGGCTGACGCGGCGCGCGCAGCTCAGCCGGGCGCCCGCCCCACGGGGAGAACCCAGGCTTCCAGCGTTCTCCGCGCGGACGCACACTCCCCCGGCCGCCCTCCTCCCGCCCGCCCGCCCGCCCCGACCAGCTCGGGACAAAGCACGGAGCCCGCGTCGGGAGCTGACAGGGCGGCTCCCGCTTGCGCTAGGCTCCCCTGTGGGGCAGCGATTCCGCCCCGTGGCCCCTCGCAGGGTGGACCCCGCGCGCCAACATTGAGTGCGGCCCGACAGACCAGCCTCAGTTCCTATTACCACGCGGAGGTGAGCAGATCCCCCCCTTGGCTCCAGGGATGGATGGATGGAACAGCTATCAGACCCATCCCCATCGATCATAGTTCTGAAATTGGCCTGGAGGTATTTCTCTTCTCAACATAGAGTGTCCAATGTTCTGTCCGCACGCCCTATGATGCACCAGACATCATATGCCCAGGTCAGAGCCTAGCCCTGACGGGACTTCTCCTGAAGAGTTTGACTAACAACATCATTGATAATTTTCTAGTATGTAATTTTTGTTTTCCGGGGAATTATGGTACCTGGAATCCCACAACCCTTGAGAGAGACAATATGGTCCTCTCTGCAGGATCAAAGCAAAACCCATACCACTAACAAGGCAACCTAAGTACTACACGCGCGGGGAAATTCCTGCAAAGACTTACGCATCAACAGCCTCGGGGCATCCTT